AGCAGCACATCCACCTCCACAGAACGGACTGTTGGACCCTTACTATACTCATCAAAGATCTGTCTGCTGGTAATTTCCACTTCTCAGCACCAATATGCTTCATCGAATGTATGATTCTTACGTATTTAAGCTACTCATTTTAGGGTGGAAATCCGGAAAAAAAATTACCGGATCAAAGGATATAGACCTTTTTCTGCTCAGTGCATGTTGTCAATTTGCTTTCGAAAGAATCATAGCAATGTACGGTGCCATTATTAATATGGCATTGATGTGTGTTAAATATTCTTAGTGTTAATTATAACACTCATGGCTTAATTACATTTATAGTATTACATTTAAATGTGTAATGTGTGTGCATTTTATAATAATGATAACATTGGTTGGATTAAGGTATTAACTTATGAGGTGAAAGATGAACTTCCTAGGTGAAAGATATCCCCTTCACATATTTAAGTTTATATTTCTTTTTTTATATGTTGATTTTTTTGTCATTTGTGCATTTATCCACAGAACTGCATGATAATATCTCTTTCTGGTGGCTAAAGAGAGAACAGTGAGAGAGTGTAAAACACTAGTCAAATGCAAAGCATCTTCATGCTTTTGTATTTTGAACACATTTTGCTCAGTGGCTCCTGATGGATGACAAACAGAGAACGTGCACTTGTTAATGCTGTTCCAAATTTTACAAACAGAAAATGGGAACTTAGTATGTTCTGAACTTGCCACCAGCCACTCTTCTGCTGCATCACAGGTCAGTCACCCTTGCTCACACTGCACTATTCTTAACCTCTCCACCTCTTAGCGCCAGAGGAGCACAAATCTGACCCTGTGGAGATGCCACCCTCTCCCCTACTGTTCTCTCAACCTGAGGCAAACTTTCTCCTACTTCCCGGAGCAAACCTGCTTCTTGGAATCCACGAGCATTTTCAATCTTGAACCCTGTGACCTCTGAGGGTGTCCGTGTGCTTCGCTTTTGACCTTTGGCAGCCAGCATTGTAGTCAGCACATTGGAGGTGCTCGGTCACCCCTGAGCTATGCTGACACTGTCTCCTGGAGAAGCCTCTCAGCTAACTGTGTCTAGCCCAGAATGACCGGCTGTCTTCCTTCCTGACAGCCTCAGATAATAGAGCTGTGTCTTATTTCCTCCTCTTCTAAGAGCAACTGGCCTCCTGTTTGCCATACTCTGCCTTTAAAACATGCAAACACATGCTTTATGGAAACAAAAGCAATTTTAGCATACCCTGCTTCCTCTACACATGCACTGTGACTCCCTTTTACAGTCCAAATCTAAAAACTCTATACCCACTTGCCACACCCAATTTCTCATCCTTAAAGTAGGGCTGGATGAGGGGGTAAAAAGAGAGTGCCTGCCTCTCCCAATTCCAAGCAAGTGGAGGCAGTGTTCTGGTTATGAACACCAGTTAGTATGCTACTCTAACATACCAGCTGTTTTATTATATTTCTCATTTTTGTGGGCCTGGAGTCTTGGCAGGGTTCCACTAAGTGATTCTTCTGTTCTACTGACATTGATGAGATCATGTTGTTGTTTGTCTGTTTGTCGTCAAACAGTTATTTTGATTCTGAAGCTCGGATCCGGAGGGTGAGGCGCAGAATCAGCAGGCAGACTCCGGGGAGGTTTCTGGAACGCTTCCGTTTTTAATAGGCAGAGCAATCGCTTATATAATCAAGGAGCAAGGGGAGGGACACTGTATGCTGAGCATAACATAATTGGATGATGCTCTCATATTTCTATATAAAATGATCTTTTGGGCGAGTGATGGAGACAGCCAATAGGAGGAACCAGACGTCTTTCAGCGGGCTCTACACCAGTCTCAACGCAGGAGAGTGTGCATGCTCAAACTCCTGAGTATCCCCTCGCCTGCCAGGAGGTGTGCTTGCAGTGCCCTTGGCTCAGCCCTGCTTGAATTTCCCTCACAAGATCACTTGGTGGTACTCACTTGACGGGTGGCTTGTTGGGACAGCCCAAGATAGCTGCACTTGGATGTCTGCCGCCTCGGTGGGAAGGGGTGGAAATGCCTCCATGAGGCGCCTCCAGGGATCGCCTCCAGAAAGTTTGCTTTTTTACATGGTAACCCAGCGCTCCAAAAGCAAAAGTTCTGGGGAATAAGACAGCAGCTGCAAGGACTTCTATGACCCAGCCTTGGTAGTCACATGGCATCAGCTTTGTCTTACTCAGCCAGCCAAAGCATCCTCAAGTCTGCCAGGTGCAGAAGGAAAGGACAGGGGCCTCCCCTGCTTTCCTGGGACAAATGGTGGGAATGTGCAATTTTATTTAAAACAACCTCAGATGGAAGCACTGTGGAAGATTCAGGGATAGGATTTGGGTGAGAGCTGGGAATTAACTATCTGATACAGAGGCTCCCTGGAGTTACCAAGGACTGATGCCCCTGCTCACATTTTTAAGTCACGCACAGGACATTCTCAACCTCTGCTTGACCATCAGCCTCACACTCTCGTATCTCCACCAACGCTGTATTTCCTAGGATCTCCGAGAGTCTTAGAACCAAATCCAGCAGCTTGTTCATTTGTTTGTTTCAGTCCTCTTGACATTTAGCCCAAACTGGACACTGGTTAAGACCCAGCCCTTCTTTCATCATAGACTCAAACACTAAGTTCTAGGACTATACGTGCTACTATTTCTTGTCCTAACTTTACCTTTGACCAGCCATTCTTTCCACACTTTAACTCTAGGTTCCTTTATGCTGAGCCCTTGTCCCCCTTTCCCAGTGCGTTGTACTTATCCCCATGTAGAGTATGCCTTTTCATTACATCCATATCACTGACGCCCAGTACCTCCCTGCTGAGACTTCTGACTCTCTCAGCAAGGTATATGCACCTGTGGTAGCTTTCTATCAACACTAGTCTCTCCTAATAAAAATAAAATAAAATTTGCTGCCATCTTTTTACCCATCAAATCACCTCCCCTTAGGGATTGCCTCGCCACAATCAGTTGGCAACATTTTTGAGCCTGCCTCTCGTGTTCTTAAGCATGGAGTCATCTTTGAAAACTCTTTGAGTCCACATCTAATAATACGTAAAGCTCTATTGTCTGTCAGACTAAAAGTGCCATTTATCTGAAAGCACTTCACAAGCATTTCACAGGAACGAACTGATGACGGGAATCTACACTCACAATAGGTTTTCAGATCTGTTCTTCACTTGACTTCTACAGCCTTCTCTCGTACCTACTTCTTTTCTTTCCTCTTTTTCTTCTCCATCAACCAGCTTCCCTGTCTGTCAGGCCAAAGGACTGCATTGCTATAAATGCCCCCTTCTTCCCCTAGCATCTTTACCTTCATGCATGCCAGTCACCTGCCTCAACTGCTCTTTGTTTCCACAGATGTTTGTAGAAAAGAAACCCCATGCTCTCTTCTTCCTTCTCTCTGTCTAGTCAGAGTCCACACTTTGGTCAACATTGCCTAGGGCAGGGGATTTAGCTCAGTGGTTCTGCTACCTGCCTGGCAAGCACCAAGTCCCGAGTTTGATACCTGGTAAGAAAAACGAAACAACACAAAACAAAAATTGTAGGAAACATTGCTTTGGAAGCTCCTTAGATCTGGCTTCTTGAATAGTGTACACACCTTCATGTCCTATTGGCCCAGCTCCTGCAGGAGATGAGTCTCATTCCATTCACCCTTCTTGGATTCAGTTCAATACAGAGTACCAGCGGGCCCTGATGGCTGAATGCGTGTGGATACTGGGAACCTCCAAAGCATCGTTGGCTTACCTGAGTGGTCCTGAAAGATGGGGCCTGATTTTTTTCTCCCTCTTTCTTTCTCCCATTTTCTAGGATTTACCGCTTTTTTTTTAAAGGATACTTTGAAAGATTTTTTAAAAATAAATGAATGTTTAAAATAAAGAAGATGAATAAGTAGTGAGATCTTTTTCAAACGGATCAGGGAACAAGAGATGGAGGGAGGGGGAGTGGGAAGGGAAGGGGAATGGGAAAAAAAGAATTGAAAGGGGAAGTTATGAAAATAGCGCTTTTGCAAACAAGGGACCAAGAACTGGAAAGAACAAGGGGCCAGGGGAGAGGCAGGGAATGAAAGAGCGGGGAGAGGAATAGGGATGTTTTCTGCATATGTACCAGCTCCCACTTCAACTGTAATTGTCATTATGCACTGCGAACATGTAGCGATGAAACAATGATAGCAGTAGGAAAACGTCCTCCCACAACCCTGTCTACAGTAATTTATCTCTACAGGTAGCGGGATTAGAGCAGCAGGATTTCAGACCTCGGACAGCTCTGGAAACGCATCTCACAGGCTGGAAACAAGGTGGGGGAAAGATGGCTTTGTCAGGGTCACGGAGCTGGTGAGGTGGCAGAGCTGTCCCGGAGTGGAGTCACCAGCCGAGTCCCTTCCACTGCACCTCCTACAAACGGTAATTAAAAGGAGCAAAGGCCATTTCATTTTGTGGAGTGCTGCAACCCTTCAAAGTGCCGCTTTCTAGATTGTCTGTGATCGCTTTTGACATCTTCCGACGAAAAGTGATGCGCAAAACACTTTTTCTTTTCAAAGTCCAGGGTTTTGCGTCATATTTTCTCAAGCCTGAACTTGTCGGTCGGAAAAGAATGTGGAGCAAGGAACAGGTCAAGTTAAAATGAGAGGAAAGGGAAGCAGAGATCGCTGTAAGCCCGAGGAGCCCCAGGATGGGGCGAACAGCGCCCCACTCCTGGCTCCTTAGGGGCTCAGGCTCCCAGCTCTCTGAGATCGCGCTTGTGTCAGGAGCTCCCCGGAGAGCTAAAGAGGCTGCAAGGCTCAAGTGCGGTGGAAGCTGCCACGCACGCCGGGGCTCCAGGGATGCCCGTGCGCCCTCCCAGTGACGCGCCGGGCTTGGCGCAGACAGCGGGGTGCCGGGCCAGGACTCCGGAGTGCAGCGCGGCTGCAGGATGGGGTGGGAGGCACCCCGGGCACGCCCGGCCCGTTCCCACGCCCAGGTCCTGGGAGAGCGGCCGGGTATAAAGGTCCCCGCGGAAGGCAGGGGCGCAGCGATCCTTCCATCCCCAGCGTGGGGACCAGACGCAGCCGCCTCGGTTCCCACTGCGCTCGGCAGGCAGCCGCCGAGTCTGCGAGGTTCCAGGAGTCAGGGAGCGGGCTTCCTTCGCGGGCCGCCCGTGGAAGGGGAAAAGAATTTCCACCTTCGGGGCTGGCGCTCTCTCTACGCTTTCTGCTTTGCTCCTTGGGGGACCATGGGGAGCCCGACGGCGTCGGAGGTGCACCCCACCGTGGGGGTCAAGATCTTCTCCGCCGGAGTGTCAGCCTGCTTGGCGGACGTGATCACTTTCCCGCTGGACACCGCCAAAGTCCGCCTGCAGGTAGTGAGCCAGACTCCGAGCGCACTGAGGGTCCGGACGGAGAGGGGAAAACTGTGGCGCGCGCCTCTGAGTCCCTGCTTTGGTTTGGCCATTTTTCTCGTTAGGGAAGGCAGGTGGCCGCCAAATTAAAAAAAAAAAAAAAAAAAAAAAAGTAAGTT